GGGTCTGAGGCTGCTGCTTCTAAAAGTGCCATCTCATTGTGCTTTATATCAGTCAGTGCTGGAGAAATCTTGACTAGCTTCTGCACAAAACTTCTAAATTTTTATATTATTTTGAAACTTTGCATCTCGGGCCAGCCCTTCTGGCTGAGAACGTTCCTCAGTCTGGGCTGGCAGTGAGCTACTCTTCCCGTTTCTTTCCCGACCCCAGTCCCACTTTTAGTGAGGTTTCTGTGAGGTCTGTTAAGGGTATATCCTACAGCTTATTGGCTTAAAATGTACTCTCCTTTGGTGTGCTCTCTTTGGGGCCTGTTGGGAGAAAGAAAAACCAAGTGTCACTGCTTTGATATGATTATTGATAATAAGTGTCTTTTTGAAAGAAAGAACCAGTGCCTCAAAAAAAAAAAAAAAAAGTGAAAGAGGGAGACAGGGCAGAGCTCCCCCAGCAGAGGGGCTCGGCAGGAGGGATCCCCGCTGGGAGAGGTCACAGAAAGGCTTTAGTTAATGTTCAGCAGCTGTTTGTGTAAGGCTGGCTCCCTGCACAGGGTCAGTTTGCCTATATGCAAAGCTTGCCTTCAGGGCTTGCAACTTCCAGTATTAGAGACCATTCTCCCCACCATGTAGCTGCCTTTTAAAGATTTATTTATTTGAAAGAGAGAGTTACAGAGAGAGGGACGGAGGGAGGGAGGGAGGGAGGAGAGAGAGAGAGAGAGAGAGAGAGAGAGAGAGATGAGAGACAGAGGGAGGGAGGGAAGAGAGAGGGACAGAGGGAGGGAGGGAGGAGAGAGAGAGATGAGAGAGAGAGAGAGAGAGAGAAAGATTTCTTCCATCTGCTGGTTCACTCCCCATGTGGCCCTAACAGTGCTGGCTGGGCCAGGCCAAAGCCAGGAGTCAGGAAACAGGAGCTTCCTCCAGGTCTCCCATGTGGGTGGCAGGGACCCAAGTACTTGGCCATCTCCGGCTGCTTTCCCAAGTGTGTAAGCAGGGAGCTAGTTTGGAAGTGGAGCTGCCAGGACTTGAACCAGTGCCCCTATGGGATGCCGGCCTCACAGGCAACAGCTTTAGCCACTGTGCCACAAGGCCAGCTCCTGCCTGCACATTCTACCTAAGTTTAACCTAACCTAACCTAACCTAACCAGCTTTTCTCCATCTATATCACTCCCTTGACACCATCTGCATCCAAACACATGGCTCCTTCTCGGGGGACAGCTCCACTCATGCAAGGCAGATGACAGGTGAGGAAGAGCTCTGTTACATGGGCTCAAGGGCAGGGGAGAGCCAGGCCCTGCCTCCACACGGCCTCGGGGGAGGGGGACAGGGCCAGGAACAGGGAGGCTGCTCAGGTGCCTTGGGTGATTCCTGTTTACTGCATGTGAAGAATGAAAAGAAGCCAGTTTTGTGGAGTCTTAAAGCCAACCTAGTAGAGAAAAAACTGTCAAATATCTGTTCTTACCTGAGACTGGTTGTACAGACGCTCAGTGCTGAGATGATATAAACTATTCCTCCCTTCTCCCATATGCTGTTCCAACAACACGTGAAGAAAAACGGGACAGCCAAGGCAGCCAGTTGTTGAGTCAGTGATAAAAACGTCCAAGTTCAACTGCTCATCATGGTTCTTTAATAAGCAGACACTGGGGCGTTGCGTGCAGTGCGACACTGGGACGCTTGCAACTCATCCTGGAGGGCCTGAGCTCACAGCCCAGCTCTGCTTCCAATTCCAGCTTCCAACAGATGTGCACCCTGGGAGGCCACCACTCACCTGGGAGACCGAGTTCCCAGCTCCTGGCTTCAGCCTGGCCCAGCCCCAGCTGTTGTAGGCATTTGGGGAGGGAACCAGTGGGTGAAGGCCCTCTTTGTCTCTCCAAGTTTCAAAATGAATAACTTTTAAAACTGCAATTTAAAGGGGCCGGCGCTGTAGCGCTGTGGGTTAAAGCCCCAGCCTGCTGTGCCAGCATGCCATATGGGTACTGGTTCAAGTCCCAGCTGCCCCACTTCGGATCCAGCTCTCTGCTACAGCCTGGGAAAACAGAAGATGGCCCAAGTCCTTGGGCCCCTGCACCGCATGGGAGGCTGGGAAGAATCTCCCAGCTCCCAGCTTCAGATCAGCTTAGCTCTGACTGTTACAGTCATTTAGGGGAGTGAACCAGCAGATGGAAGACCTCTCTCTCTGTAGCTCTTTCAAATAAATAAAAGAAATCTTAAAAAAAAAAAAGAAGAAATAAAAAAGCAGATGTTGCTGTGTTTGGATGTGGTGTGTGTCGCTGGCGCTTTGAGTGCTGGAAGCTGCAGCCGCAGTGTGGCAGTGTTGAGAGGTAATGTGGCTTTAAGAGGCAGAGCCTGGTACAGGTGATTTTGTCACTGGTGATGCCAGTTGGTTCTCAGGAGGGCTGGCTGATACCAAAGAGCCAGACGAGCCCTGCCCTGACTTCTTGTCACTCCCAGGACTGTGATGTGCTCAGGAGGGCTGAGACACGCCACCGCCAAGAACTGTGGGCTAAGTATTCCTGTTTCCTTTATGCATCTCCCAGCCTTGGGGGTTCTGTCACAGCAACAGAACAGAGACCAACACAGATGTGACTCGCCAACTTCCTAACCACGATTCACAAACTGATCCTGTCAGCGTCATCTCCACGGAGACACTCATTCCATAGATCATTTACGAGTATTTGAAAGTACAAAAATGCTGTGTTCTGGCTAACCTAAAATACCAACGTGTTCATACAGTCCCTTCATAAGTGTTACATGTTATTTTGAAATGCAAATGAGCTCAATTTGTTCCGGAAGGCTTTACAAGTGTGTCCACAGGGAGGCAGCAAAAGGGCCCTGCAGTCTCCCAGCTCGAGTCCTTCTGCCCCTCGCCAGCCTGCGGGAACACGGCCCTGGAAAACACCTCCTCTGGAATGCCACGGTCTCTCAAGTGTTGATTCACGCTGCCTCAGACTCCACTTAGAATCTGTTCCCGTCATGCAGAGCTCCCCAAGGGGCGGCACTCACCAGTGACCCACCAGAGCGCCCAGCATGCACCTGCCCTTGCTGGGACATCAGTGATTGGCACACAAGCCCGCAGTGACCCTTGCGGTTGAAGTAAATGTATTTGGAGTCTCACAGGCTTAAGGCAAAACTCTAATTACAACTATGTAGTAATTATGAGGACAACACGGGAGGCCTCATGTAGGTCACTTGAGGTCACACGTGGCTCTCGCTAAGTGCTCGGAAACATCACTCACTAAAATTGACGGTAAGATTACACAGGGATTACCAGTCACCTAAGTCCTAGTTATAGCACACGCAGTTATATTCATCTAGTGCTTCATTAACACGAGAGAATAGGATAGCAACAATGAAATCACTATAATTTCCAGTACTGATGAAGTTCTCAAGTGTGCACTTTAGCAAACTAAACCAGCTTTACAACCAGACATTCTCCAGATATAAATAAATGATAAACCTACCCAAAAAACTCTAACTGGGTGTAATTTAACAATCATAAATAACTGCTGAGGAGCTACCCCCGAGCTCCCTCAGCAGCTCCGTGCCCCACCTGGTGACACGGCACTGAGAGCCCCGGGAGCCAACACAGATCCTTGCCCCAGTGCCCGTGGTACCCTGCGTGCTTCCCAGGCACACCTCTCCTGGGTGCTGAAGGACACAGCGTGAGCACCTGCTCCCAAGCCTAGAGGGCAGACGAGGAACTTTACACGGACAGCCTCCAGAGGAAGCAGCAGGGCAGCATGAAGAAGTACCTCTGCTCGGCCGCTGGCCTATCCATGACCACACGGTGGGGGCAGGCCGGGTCAGGGCCTACTGACCGCCTCTGCAGGATGGCTTCCCTGCAGTGCAGCCACCCCTCCCCACCTGCACCTGACACTGCCTTCCACTTCAACTCTGCGTGACAACAAAGGCCAAGAGGCCACAAGCCACTGATCATTACAACCCATGCTGTGTCGTAACAACACAATCTCTCTCCACGGGGCTCGGTTATTGCAGAAGAACCCCACTGCTCACCCATGCCTTCAGGATACGTATGAACATAGCCAGCTGCCCTTAGAAAGGCACCATCATAGCTCCCATGCCCACGGGACAGGCGTGGTCACAGCCAGAAGTGTACACAGAACAGGTGTGATGACAGCCAGTGCACCATGGGACAGGTGTGATCACAGCCAGTGCACCATAGGACATGCGTGATCACAGCCAGTGCACCACAGGACATGCGTGATCACAGCCAGTGCACCATGGGACATGCATGATCATAGCCAGTATACCATGGAACACGTGTGCTCACAGCCAGTGCACCATGGGACAGGTGTGATCACAGCCAGTGCACCACGGGACAGGCGTGATCACAGCCAGTGCACCATGGGACACACATGATCACAGCCAGTGCACCACGGGACATGCGTGATCACAGCCAGTGCACCATGGGACATGCATGATCATAGCCAGTGCATCCATGGAACACACATGATCACAGCCAGTGCACCATGGGACATGCGTGATCACAGCCAGTGCATCCATGGGACACACATGATCACAGCCAGTATACCATGGAACATGTGTGATCACAGCCAGAGTATGAATCTTAAAACAGAGACAGCTCTCTGGAATGGTACTCGCATGCTGAGGAAATGGACAGCGGTCATGTCCTCACACAGGTCATGGGTTTTCACGTATGCTGCCGGTGTTCTTCAAACAGAGGATATGGGTCTCTTTCACAGATCCTGCAGGTGGCCTTCGCTTCTATTTCAGTTGCATAATTATTAGAAGGCTTTAACTACAACTCCTGGGACTTTCTTAATTTCCTTGAAACAGAAATTACACCTGAAGCATGCGCCGCTTGGTAACTCAATTAATTCTGGAAGAAATGCTAACGGCAGATGGAAGGCTGTGGCCTCACCTGAGTCGCACACACTACCTGGGGCTGGATGCCCAGCACATTAAACGGTTCTGCTAAACAAGCAGAGACTCAAATATCAAAGGCGAGTAAATACCAAAGAGACGGGAGGTATATTTTAAAAGCCAGATATATTTTTTTAAAAGATCATGTTTACAATACGTAAATTACATCGTGAAGAAACATCAAAGTCGATGGATAAAAAGGCACATAGCAAAGTTCAAGAGTAGAAAGAACAGAACAGTTCTTGTTTGCTTCTAACATAGGAAGAAAGGGAAACAGACATATTACAATTATTTCTCAGGTGAAGGTTTCTGTCAGCTGAGTGATTAGCAGAGGCTGCTTCTGCCCCTTGTCCCAGGCCGTCTTTTCTTGCACGGGCTGCTGGGCAGGGGCTCAGTCGTCGGCCATGTAGAGGCGATACATCAGTGCCACGATCAGGGCGGAGATGGCGGGGATCACCCAGTTGGTCCACCAGCTGCAAAGACACAGGAAAGTCAGGCTTGCAGGGTGTGCAACTCGGGGACCCACCACACCTGCTCCTGCCAACAGAACACCACCACAGCGTGTACTGCTTGCCTCTGTGACCAGTTGGGCTGAAGACAATGAGGATTTGCTCAAAGTGCCGGGTGGGCACAGGATGCCCTAGAACACTGCCCATCATGCTACCTGCTGGCCTCACGCAAAAACCACTGCGCTGCCAGCTCCACTTCAACTGCTTCTGTAGACTTCACGCTGAGATACTGGCCAGCAGGAGCGACTGATCTCAAAGACATAACCCCAGGTTCTGTATCACGGGGAACAAACGTGAGAATTCCCTCCATAAGTGAGTGAAGACTTTTAAATGGCACTCAATTGAGATCATGAAGACCTATTCTCATTTTGGTTGAGGCTGAGCATGCCCTGCAGCTAAACATCATAAACTTTCTACCCTTAAATATTCTTTACACATCAACCTATCCAAATATCAAGTCCAACATAAAGATATGAAATGCAAAATGATTACAGCTTCGCCAGAGTGGGGGTTAGTGAGGCTTTTCAGTTTCCCTTTAGGGAAGACCAGGAGTGTTGATAAAGAGTAAGGTGAAATACTGCCTGCAGTGGGGGCCTTCCCAGAACACTAACAGGAGGGAGCAGTTAAATTTGACAAGATGAAACATAAGGGTGCAGTTTTGAGCCTGCGTCCAAAAAACAGCTATTATGTAAGTCAATATGGTACCTGCCAATGTTAATATGAGCTTGGACTATATCAAGAAATCTGACCTCAAGAACAAGTGAGTCATGCTATACTTGGATTGTTGGGTTCAACTCTGGGGCCAACTTCATAAAAGCCCAGCTTAGGGAACTGTAATCAGAACAGGTTAAGAAACTGACCATGGATCAAATGCAGAAGGAAACGAGACGAACAGACTAACAGAGCAGCCGTGGGATGGATCCTCTGAAGGGTGCCGTGGGGAGAGAGACTCACTCTGTTCTGTGTGTTCCTTGGGGTTGAGACTGGGTTTGCTGTGGTGATCACGTACCACCTGAGCTGCCAGTGTAGGTGCCCACAGACATAACTAAGAGGCTGACTACCAGGTGCAGGTGTGGTAGGAACCCAAGCAGAGGGTCAGGTTTGGGGAGGTGACTCACAAGCCTTTCAACACAACACCACTTCCAAAGAAAACCCAACATACCTGGAATTGGAATCGACGGTGGTGATAAGAGTTTCCTAGAACACAAGGACAAAAAAATGCAGTAGGTCTCAGGGAAATGTGTGAACATTTATTCCACTGACTAAAAACGTGTTTCAAAATTAGGTCCCAATATTTTATACAGCACATCCCCTTAAAAGGGGAAAATCACATCATGAATTTCTTTGCACTAAAATGCCTAATTTCAGAATACAAAATTTTAAGAATTAGCTATATTGAAATTATTTAAGAAAACAACCTTGATAACTTGAGAATGTTAAAAGTGAATATGCTACATAAAGTGCCTTGCACACAAAAGGCATCTAAATACTTTTAACAGCGAAAGTGAAACCAGATACTCAGGTATACACACATCATCATTTCCATCATCTCTGTCGAGGAGCAGTTTCGTTCACAAATGCATGAATGAAATGCTCAATAAAAACAGTAGCTATTTCACTAAAACCAAGTAGGACAGAAAAGTGCCTGTATTGTATTCAATACACATTCATCAAAATAAATAAGAGTTCTCGCTTCACGTCTGAACATCGTAGAGACCTTCCTCCGTCTCCCTGGACCCTGGCCAGACAGTACCAGTGAGGCCTGCCTGGCCTGTCTCCTCCCAGCTGCACTGTCTAACCTCCAAATAAAGAAGCCCTGATTTTACCTTCCAGCACTTTCTGAGAGCAGCTCTTCTTTTGAGTACCACACAGTGAACTTACAGGGGCTCTGGAAAACTTCCCCTGATAGCCGAGAAACCAAGGTCTACCCAAACACACGCTTTTCTGGACTTGAAACCGTGTTAGGAAGCATTTCACACCAGCACAAGTGTTAGTGCCGCAAAGGGAAGCAGCCAAGAGTAAGGCAGCCTCCTCAGGGAGCCCCTGCCCGTGGCCTCCCAGAGCACACAATGGACATCAGCAGCCAGGGCAAGCTGCAGTCTGCAGAGCACAGTGAGAAACTGCCTGGAGGGGGCAGCCCCGGAGGCAAGAGCAAGCCAGCAGCAGGTGACCCACCAACCTTGAAACACAGCCTTTAAGGTTCCTGACACGGTAGGGGAGAAAAACAAGTCATTTACAAAAAAGCTTCACGTGCATTAATGATTCAATCCAACTTTAGATCAGAGGGTCTGTGAAAGTGCTCAGAACTACTGCAGGACAGTTTATCAAACAATGCACACTGTATAAATTAATGAAGGTTACTAGAAACAATCAAAATATGCAAGCACATTATTTAACTTAGAGGAAGGACGTTGTGAGTTCTAAAACCAAAGCGCTCACTGAAGGACACTGTGTTATCGTCACACCACAAAGTTAAGCTTGAAACGGGAAAGGGAGGCAAACACAAACACAGTTCGTTGTTACACATTTTACCAAACAGGCTGACACTATGGAGATTCAGCTAGCCTTGCCTTCCATGGCTTCTGCAGCTACCTCAATGCCAGTCTTAAAACACGGCTGTGACGTTTAAACACGGCTATGCATCATCACCACCAGCAACAACGAGGACCTTCTAAGGAGCTGAACTTGAAAAAAAAAAAAAAAGGCCTCTCACTTTGTTGATGATCTTCTTGGCTCTATCGGCTCTATAACTTAGGATGAATGACTGCTTCACTCTTTGATGAAAAGCTCAATCACTTTCAGCAGCCCAAGCTTCAGTTCAGGGATGTGGCTATCAAACACATCAACACTGAAGGGGGAGAAAAGACTGTGGGTTTTGACAGGCTCTGCCACCTGTTCATTCTATGACCTCGAGGGGCTCAATTTGCAGTAAAAAAAAAAAAAGGGAGGGGTGAACAATTAAATCAGGAACGGTTTCGTATGACTTATAAAAGTCATATAAGTCAGTATAAATTATGATCTACTTAATAAAAGATGTGCAAAGCCCAAAAAGCTTTTGCAAGTCAAGAGTCACTTGAAGTACAGGATATCTAACAGCCTGGGATGACAGAGCAGAGTTCCCTGTGAAAACCAGGGCCTATGAAGCTGCTTAAGAGACCACCACTGTCGGCCGGCGCCACGGCTCACTAGGCTAATCCTCTGCCTTGCGGCGCCAGCACACCGGGTTCTAGTCCCAGTCGGGGTGCCGGATTCTGTCCCGGTTGCCCCTCTTCCAGGCCAGCTCTCTGCTGTGGCCCGGGAGTGCAGTGGAGGATGGCCCAAGTCCTTGGGCCCTGCACCCCATGGGAGACCAGGATAAGTACCTGGCTCCTGCCACTGGATCAGCGTGGTGCGCCGGCCACAGTGTGCCGGCCGCGGCGGCCATTGTAGGGTGAACCAACGGCAAAGGAAGACCTTTCTCTCTGTCTCTCTCTGTCCACTCTGCCTGTCAAAAAAAAAAAAAAAAAAACACCACTGTCAAGACTGGTGTGGTGCCAGACTTGGAACGCCAGGCTTTTCACAAGCCTGTGCCTCTCCTGGGGGCTCTGTGAGTGCCAAATAAAATATCAAAACTGTGACCACTATAACCAAGAAAGGCTTTCACTACTACTATTATCTTCTATGGAAGCAAATTTGATACATACAGGTATATTTGTTTCAAAATGTGTAATTCCTATGTACACAAATGTCTGAATTTGGCAACTTCATAGCATGCTTTCATTTGGACAGTTTCAGGGCAATCTTTGGTGCACCTTACTTCGGAATTCAACCACATTCAACCACATACTGTAACCAGGCAACATTCTGAAAACTCAGACGGAGGTGCACACATTTCAGCCTGCAGGCAGACGGATGGTTATATGGATACATAGCAAGGAAAACATCCAAGGACAGTCCTTCTTTCTGGAAACCCAGGGAACTGGCTGTGTGTTTTCCCGCATTTTATTTGCTTATGATCTCTCAAAACAGAGCAAGCTCTTGCCCTACCTTAGGTCTAATTTAAGAAAAGTCAAAATAAAGGAATTTTTTCTGGATAAAATATTCAGAAGTTGGTCCAGCTATATAATCTTTGAAGAGAATAAAAATATCTACTTCTACAAGTTAGTGTGATTATCACAATTCCACTGAGATTGTCCATACCCAGACAGTATAGAAATATCATGAAATACCATGAAATACCAACTACTAATGATGAAGCAAACCAATGTCTTCTATAAGCAGAGAGCCACTCATTCTATCCTAATGTTGTCAGGAAAGCTTTCTTTGATGGTGAAAACTCGATTTCCAGAATTTAGCAGGTAAGCTTGCTCTGTCCTCAAAATATTTTATGTATCAAAGCAACAGGCACTTGAAAAAAGAAAAATAAGTATCACTGGAGAACAGCAAACAGTCATGGACAATTGTTACCACGGAGTACGGGTTACAGTGCACAAGTCCTCAGTGCTCATGGGGAAGGAAGGAGCCCATCTTCCCACTCAAGGCAGCTGTGGCAGGAGATCTGCAGGTGCTTTCTGCTGGTGGGCGCCACGGTCAGGAGTGGCTGGTGCCCCAGCAGCTCTGTGCTCTGCAAAACGAACCTTACCAGATCCTTGTTTGCCTCTGGCTGAGTGACTGCCCGCAAGACGGTCAGCACACCGAACACCTGACAGAAAAGACAGGCTTTTCCCCACGCATCGCAGAACGTGTACGGTCCAAGAAGTAACCTTGAAAGAGCGCTGGGGGCCAGCACTGTAGAGCAATGGGTGAAGCTGCTGCCTGTGATGCCAGATCCCATATGAGTGCTGGCTGGAGTCCCGGCTGCTCCACTTCCATCCAGCTCTCTGCTATGGCCTGGGAAAGCAGCAGAAGATGGCCCAAGTCCTTGGACCCTGCACCCACTTGGGAGACCTGGATGGAGTTCCAGGCAACTGGCTTCAGACTGGCCCAGCCCTACCTGCTGAGGCCATTTGGAGAGTGAACCAGTGATGGAAAAATTTCTCTAGGCCAGCGCCGCAGCTCACTAGGCTAATCCTCCGCCTGCAGCGCCGGCACCCCAGATTCTGGTCCCGGTTGGGGCGCCGGATTCTGTCCTGGTTGCTCCTCTTCCAGTCCAGCTCTCTGCTGTGGCCCGGGAAGGCTGTGGAGGATGGCCCAAGTGCTTGGGCCCTGCACCCCATGGGAGACCAGGAGAAGCACCTGGCTCCTGGCTTGGTATCAGCACAGCGCCGGCTGTAGCGGCCATTTGGGGGGGTGAACCAACAGATAAGAAGACCTTTCTCTCTGTCTCTCTCTCTCTGTCTAAATCTGCCTGTCCAAAAAAAAAAAAAACAAAAAAAACAAACAAACAACAACAAAAAAATTTGTGTGTGTATGTGTCCCTCTCTCTGTATAACCGTGCCTTCTAAATAAATAAATACATCTTTTTTTTTTTTTTTTTCTAAAAATACTCAAGTCAAATGAACCAACAGCAATGGCTGCTGGGACCATTCAGATCATAAAGGCTACTGTCCATCTTCCTAGGGTGCACCTATCACCAGCCCTGAACAGGAGAAGGGAAAACCCAAGTGAGGCTGCTCTGTTCTAGGGCACTGGCCCAGACTTTCACTGCTTGTCTGCCGGGCTGCGGTGAGCAGGACCCGCGCTCCTGCTCCTGGCTCCACGGCTCTGGCAGTGCTGCGGGTTAAACACACCCTGTGAGATGGGTTCAGGAGCTCCTGTCACATGCATAGCGGAGGTTTTGCTGTTGTGAGCTCTCTGACAAAACCAGGAGTATGCACCAACGTGGAAAAAGGAACACTGCCTTCCTGCCATTGGTCTCAAGCAAATCTTAATTCCACACCAGGAATGATTTTTGCCAACTGGCATTTTTCTTCTCAATTCTGATTCTGAATTTATTTTAAAAAATAAGTGACACGGTCAGCTCAGCGGGGCTAGTGAGCCAGAGCATAAAAGTGTGCTAAACATCCAACTGTGCCACAGAGAAGCAGAGTGCAGACCACACGGTGGCATCCAGAGACCTAAGGAGTAACTGCTTACACCATCAGATTTCAAATTCTTGGAAAATCAGACCTGCGTTAAACCTTTCAGATGAGAGGCACCCTGATGCTCATTAAAAGTAGCTCTTCAAAAGGTACTGATTGATAATTATGATGAAAAAGTTGTTTAAATACTGAGGATCTTACATCAGTAACACACAGAATATACTGACTGCTCACACTAATAAAAATGTTGACCCCACACCTGTCCATCCATCCCCCCCACCAACCTGGGAAGACCTGAGCTGGCTGCAGACAGGAAAGCAAAGACCTTTGGCCTCATTTGACAAGTTTTAAATACAATGAAAGCACCTCCTTCCCTGGGGACGCCTGAGATGGTCACACTTACCATAGGCTTGCTCAATTTTGATCTGTCATCCTGCAATTAAAAAAAAAGAAACACATTAGAGAACTGAAAAACATCTGCAAAAATTATCATTTTCAAAGTGCTTGCTTTTTATTTATTAAGGTTTTTTTTTTTTTCAGTTATCATTCAGTGATTAGCATTTTGGGGACAGAATGTGACTGGTAAATACAACCTCTGATTCACCTTGCTTGACAGAAAAAAATTAGTAGCAGATTAAGTGCTGAGGCATTTTCTCTCCAGAGTTCCGAGGTTCCCAGTAGCACCCATGGTAGCCGTAATTACATATCGATGTGTCGACACACGTGACCTTGATTCACAGTGTCTACACCCGTGATCTTTGATTCAGAGTTGCCGAAGACTAATTCTTCCCTTCTCTCCTCTCAAACTCCCTGTGAGATGTGTGCACACCTCTGTTTACCCTCAGGGGAATCTGCAGTCCCCCACAGGCAGGCTCCTAAAGATCTCAGGCTGCTCTCAAAAACTGAGGCTGTCAGAGGCTGGCGCACGTAAGCCCAGCAGGCAGGGAAACGCCAGCTGCTTCCCAAAGCCCCCCAAGTGGGTCTCAGTCCTGACATTCTCCAGGTTTGGGGTAAAGTGAGCTGAAGGGGACACCGCGCCAGCTTCACAAAGGCAAAGCTTTCGCATTTAACATCGCTTAGGACTAAGGAGAGTAAAAGAAGGTTTCTTAATAAAATACTTTGGTCAAAAAAGAAAAAGCCTTGTGTTGGGCTGGCACGCCCACATTCTGATATTCACGCTCGGTGCAGTTGCAGCGACTGAGACACGCCTCCCCAAGACGCACACGGCGCAGGGCTACAGGCCTCAGACTGTCCACGCCCACGAGAAAGGCAACCAGCGAAACACAAAGAAGCTTTGGGCCGACCGACTGACGACAAAAACAGTGTTCTGGAATCACTTTACTCATTTTTCAGTTATGGATGTATGACCCGCACATACGCATGTTCACAGACTAGGGCAGAAGTCCACCCTCCGCTCCGCGCAGCACGTACCGGGTGCAGCTCCCCGATGATGAAGGTCTTGGACAGCTCTCTGGCATCTGTCGAGTGCCCGACGTCCTCAAAGTTTTCAGTGGCATCGCCCCCAGCTTGTTCCCTCAGGACTTCCTCCCCTCCAGGGTGCTGTTTAGGGAAAAAGCCAGTTCACTCAACCAGTCAGGCGCCTCCCAACGCCTGGGTGACAGTAACCTGTCCATCACGTGGGTGACAGCGACGCACTGCCCTGTACTCAGTGTCCTTTGTGCTGGTGCCACAGACCCCGTCTCCATGTGTCCCTCGTACGGCAGCGCGAGCCTCCATAACACTCGGGTCGTCCATCTGGCCTTCCCCCAAAGCTCTCTGAACTGCTCCCCTTCAGCTGCCCTCGGTCTACTTTCTCTTGTGTCCTCTGCCTGTGACTTCTTCCCCCCGACTGTACTGGCCTGAGAGGACAGTTCCCAGTGGACGCGGGCCTGGCCTGGACTGGCCCTGCCCCTCGGGAAGCCCAGGTGTGCCTGCTGGACGGCCAGCCCTGCCTCGGCAGAGCCGACTTCCTGGGAAGAAGGCGAAGGGAAGCAGGGAACCTGCTCGAGATGCTGCCCTCAGCCTTTCGCTGACAGAGCAACGGAGACAGAAAGTAGAGTCAGGGTCCAGACGGGGAGGCAGGCAAGGGGGCCTTCACGGTGGAAAAGCACACTCGTGCTCACAGCTGCTGAAGCGAAACGAGCGGGCACAGCATGTGGGCAGGGCTTTTCCCTAAGATGATCGCCAGGCGCCCAATCACCGGAGCTTTCAGGTAAGGGAGCAGCACCCAGTTAAGTGACCGTAAATACTTTAAACTGAGCTTCGGCTTCGTCTTGGCTCAATCCAGCCTGACCTTCAGCCAGTCACCTGTGCACCTGCACGTGTCCAGCAAGCAGGCAAGACCAGCCTCCTCTGCAGGGTTGCCCACAGTCAGTCCTCAACTTCTCCCGGCAACAAAAGGCACCAGGAGGCCCTCACTCTGCTCTCTACCTTGTTTCTCCTCCTACTGTGCTTAAATATAGCTTTCCACAAAGCTCTCTAAATCGCTCCCCTTAATCTACACACCTACTCCCCAACTCCAGTAAGTTATCCACCTACACTGCAGAAAGAAAGAAAAAAAATCACTCACAGTCTCACCATCCAGAGAGCAGGGTATACATATATGCAAATGAGTGAATGGTTTGTAGAAAGAAAACTAAACATTATCTGTCGACTCTTGTTCAAGGAATGTGAGAACAGGCAGATCTCCCGAACCCAGCCATAATTTTGCAGCCTATCTTCAAAGGAGGTTAAAATCATCAAATTGGCCCCTATACAGAGTCACAGCCAGACAAGTTCCTAAAGACAGAATCCTGACCTTGAAAGTGCTAAAACAGAGAACGTGTCTACTATGAAACTTAAAAACAATACTACTAGTCGAACAATACCCTATACCTTGTGTGGTTGTGTGAGTGCAGCCTGTTGAAACCCTTGCTTAGTATATACTAAGTTGATCTTCAGTATATGAAGGTAATTGAAAATGAAACTCGATGAAGGGCGGGATGGGAGAGGGAGTGGGAGAGGGGAGGGCCATGGGAGGGAGGGAGGTTGGGGGGGCACAACAATACAAAAGCTGCACTTTGTAAATTCACATTTATTAAATAAAAAAATAACTATATAACAAACAAAAAAAGAAACAGAAAAAAAAGAACTTAATACTTTACCCTTTTAGTATTTTTTATGTTCTACTTAAAACTATTGGTTGAACTCTGTAATTAATACACAATTACTCTTAGGTGTTTAATTAATGCTATAACTAGTACTCAAATAGTATTTTACACTTTGTGTTTCTGTGTGGGAGCAAACTGTTGAAATCTTTACTTAATGTATGCTAAACTGATCTTCTGTATATAAAGAGAATTGAAAATTAATCTTGATGTGAATGGAAGGGGAGAGGGAGTGGGAGAGGGGAGTGTTGTGGGTGGGAGGGACGTTATGGGGGGGGAGGAAGCTATTGTAATCCATAAGCTGTACTTTGGAAATTTATGTTCATTAAATAAAATAAAATATAAAAAGCAGAGAACGTGGACAGTGCCTGTTACAGACACACATGAGCCCTCACCTGAAACAGGCACGAACGTGAACCTCTCCCCTTGATCCTGGACCAAGAACAGAAACAACGGGTATGTGGACCTGTCTGCCGGCTCTGGCTGACTCACACCTGGCCCAAACCACCTGTCGGGCAACTTTCTAAGGAGAAAGAGCAAACACTAGAGAGGAACATCTTGGATGCCAGCGGCTTCGCTGACCACTGGTGAAAAATTTTAAAGCAGAGGAACCATTGGAAAAAAAAAAAAAAAAACAGCATTAACTACTTGATGCTGAAATATTTTCACTCTGCCCTACAGTGACGGTAGGAAAATCAAAGCCTTAAAATTGAGCGTTTGGAACAGAGTAACTCAAGCCTTGACAGGACAGTAAACTCACAGGGATCAAACGCGAAGTGACCGTGCGACTGCACGCAGGGTGGGTGTTCTGACACACAGGTGCACAGGGCATGAGGACACTGGGTCCCCAGCACTGAGCTGAGACAGGAGGCAGGAGCCAGAGGTAACGAGGGGCAGGGGCGTGTGTAACAAACAGGGACCTGTCTTGCAGGGCTCAGGGTGGTCAGGGACTGTGAGAGGACCACCCAGGAGGGGTGGAGGAGCCAGGCCACGCAGGGTCTCCAGGCCTCTTCAAGGACTGCATGCCTGGTCCCGTGAGCAATGAGAAGCCACTGGAAGGATCTAAGCAGGAAGGGGACACAATCAGATCTGATGGGAAAATTCACACAGGGTAAGAGGGGGAGAGGGGCGACTGCAGTCAGGGTAGGCTGGAAACTGCCCAGGGTAAGCAGGTGTCAGGGGCGAGAGATGGAGCAGATGCCAGGACTTCTGAGGGAGGGGGCAGGGCAGGGCGAGGGGCGCTCCAGGGTGGTCACATGTCAGGTCTGTACGCCGAATGTGCAAAGGTGCCGACTGCTGGACAGAGCCCAGGGTGGCCCCCACACACCCACTGTGCCCCTGTGTCTCGGAGCCCGTAATTCCTGCTGTGTGCTTCTGCGAAATCGCCATTTCTAAGCAATGATCCAGACACACTTTGCTCGGGACAGCATTTGAGAACTGGAAATGGCTTTTGTTTTCTGGATCTATAATTTAAGAGTTACTGTCAGGAAAATAAACAGGAAATGTATTTCACAAGGTTCAAGGTTGGCAGAGTCTGTATAATTCAGGATATGTGAACTTGCCACCCAGTACCACGGGCACCGCTGGGAAGACAGGGAGCAGCCCTGCGCTCTCTACAGCCACACGGGCTGCCGGCTCCGACACCGTAACTGGCTGATGCTATTCACGGCAGGAAAGACTCCCCCACAGTGGGTCTGTCCTCTGTGAAACGCTCTCTTCGCTGGACTTCAAGAGGCTCTCCCAGCTCCCCTCCAACCTTCCAAGCTACTACAACCTCCCGGCCTCCTCTGAGTGTGAAGCCAGGAGCACACAAGGCTCAGGCCACGGTCCTCCCCTCCCCTCTCCCAGTAGCAGCTCTCCGGTGCTCTGAGTGACACCCATCTGCCAGTGAGTGCGGCTGGGTGAGGACCTCTCTGGACTCTCCCAGCTCCAGACTCCTCCCACATCAAGAACAGCCTCCTCCACACCTTTGCACTCTCTATTGAAATCCCAAAAGCAACAGCACCCAAACCCTAAACCAACCCAGCACCTCCTGCATGGACGCCCGCAGTCGTCCACCTGGGCTGCTGCTCCCTCCTTCCTTCCTGGGATCAGCCCCCTTCTGTTGTCAGGCCCTGATTATGGGATGTAGAAGAGGCACCACTAGGGCCATCTGGGGTGGATGGTAGTAGCAGAGGGGTCAAGAGGTGAAAGGTAGAGAAGTCAAAGACAGAAGAGCACCCTCCAGTCTCTGGGAGACGGGAGGTGATGGGTTCCCACCCAGTCTTGGCTGTATTCTGCAGCTCACTGGGCACGGCCAAACGGCCTCAGCAGCGATCCCACCTGGAACCCGCCATGTGCCCTCCGCGTAGTACACCCAGCACTCGTGCCCTGCAGATTCCACCCGTCAGCCTCCTACCCTCTCACCGTCTGCTCAAGGCTGTGCCGAGAGAGCCCCTCCCTGACGTCTCTGTGTGAGGCCACCTGCCCCACAGCCCCACACCAGGTCTCTCTATCTACCCGCTCTGCTCCTTTATAGCCCCAGGTCCTGCCTGGGGCTGCTTCATGTTCTAGGAGTCCTAGGGACAGAGACCTCAGTGTCCTGCTCATCTCTTTCTCCTAGTTAGTACCCAGATAAACAAGTAAGACAGCACAGATCACTGCACGTGGGTTTGGGATTGTCCCATCCAACCAGCCCGGAAGCTGGTAAGAGTCTGCTCTCTCAGCCATCCACTCCAGTCCATCTCATACTCCTCTCCTGGAAGTGTAATGGTTCCTACCATTCAGATCACAGAATTTCACACTTAATTGCTGCCTAATTGATTCCATCAAAACCACTCATCATTTTTGTGTATAATGGTTTTATGTGGGACATGGGAAAGCAGGTGAGACATCAACGGGATTTTTTCCAGAAGAGGCATGCAAGGGGCTGGCGCTACGGCATAGCAGGGAAAGCCACCACCTGTAATGTCGGAATCCCATGTAGGCACCGGTTCAAGTCCCACCTGCTCCACTTCCAATCCAGCTCCCTGCTAATATGCTGGGAAACCAGCAGAAGATGGCCCGAGTGCTTGGGTCTCTGCACCCATGTGGGAGGTCTGGAAGAAGCTCCAGGCCCCTGGTTTCAGTCTGGTCCTGCCCTGGCTGTTGCAACCATCGAGGGGGTGAACCAGCAGATGGAGGATCTCTGTCTCTGTCTCTCCTTCTCTCTGTAACTCTGCCTTTCAAATAAAGGAGGCATGCTATTCTTTTGGGGTTAAAGAAGTAATGGAAAAGTCCGGTGGCCCTCATTAACACAGCCTCACAGTTTGAGTATCCATGACTGACCCATAGCTGGAGGTCTCTGTAATACCACTAAGGCTTGCATGACTCCAAGCAACTCTCCTTAGACAGCGGAGAGTGAGCCGCTCAGCTCATTCACCACGTGCACGGCCC